GTGGCAGGATGCACAGAGGTGAATGCTTAACGGGCTCAAATGTTTATTTTTTTTTGCCATCAGCCTGGGCATATGGCTAGGAACTGTCCAAAGGGCCCAAGGGAGGGAAGGTCTAGTGCTCCATCTCAGCAAAGTACTGGGAGACATCCTACTGTTGGTAGACCGAGGGTTCAAGAGTCTACTGCTTCTGTTTCTGCTTCAGCTCCTAGTCTGCCGGTTGCGAGACCTGTGGTGCAACCAAGGGTTTATGCCATTACATAGCAAGAGGCCAAGGAATCTCCTGATGTGATTACTGGTATTATTCATGTCAAGTGTTTCCCTACTAGAGTACTTTTTGATACTGGAGCATCGCATTCATTCATTAGCCAGGATTTCATTAAGAAGCATACATTGGATGTTTGCACCATGCCTACTGTATTGTCTTTGCTGTTACCGGATGGGTCTAGGATAACTGCTACACTTATGTGTTCCACTTTTCTCACTATTTGTGAGGAGTTTGATGTTCGGTTGGTAGTCTTACCCCTGTTGGAGTTTGATGTGATCTTAGGAATGGATTGGATGTCGAATCAATTCATTTCCATTGACTGCAATAAGAAAGTGGTGAAGATCAAGTTTCCTGGAGGAAAGAAACTTGTTTTTCAGGGTGATCGAGGTGTATCCTCTATGATCATATCTTCTATGAAGGCTTGTAGTTTACTTTTGAAGGGATACCCAAGCTTTCTAGCACATGTAAGGGACACTTCCAAGCAAGTGCCAGAATTGAAGGAGATTGCTGTAGTGAGAGATTTTCCTGATGTGTTTCCTGACGTTCTACCTGGAATGCCTCCGATTAGAGAGATTGATTTCTCAATCGTTCTTGTACCTGGTGCTGAGCCTGTTTCAAAAGCACCATATCGTATGGCAGTAAAGGAACTTCAGGAATTGAAGTCTCAATAGCAAGAACTGCTAGAGAAAGGATTTATTCGTCCTAGCACTTCACCCTGGGGAGCACCGGTCCTCTTTGTAAAGAAGAAGGATGGTAGCATGCGACTCTGTATCGATTATAGAGAGTTGAACAAGCTTACCATTAAGAACAAGTATCATTTGCCGAGGATTGATGACTTGTTTGATCAGCTAGTGGGAGCCACGGTCTTTTCCAAGATTGACCTAAGATCTGGATATTATCAGTTGAGGATTAAGGAAGAAGACATCCCGAAGACAGCATTTAGCTCAAGGTATGGCCATTATGAATTCACAGTGATTCCATTTGGGTTAACAAATGCCCCAGCTGCATTTATGGACCTTATGAATCGAGTTTTCCAGCTAATGCAAGATGGTTTTGTCATTGTTTTCATAGATGACATTCTTATCTATTCATGTGATGAAGAGCATCATGCCAATCATCTCTAAGCAGTGTTGCAAACACTAAGGAGTAATGAACTGTTTGCCAAATTTTCTAAGTGCGAGTTTT